GTACTCCCTCAGGCCAGGCACTGTGAAATGTGGCAGCCTGCGGAGGCCAAGGGCCCAGGCAAAGGCGGTTATGGTTCTAAGGTTTCCTATGCTGTCTCCCCTCCCCTCCCAATAAAAAAGCAGTTCTGGGGATAGAAGGTAAAAGAACCCAATCCTGAGAATTTACTAACGTCCCCCAGTTCGGAGAGAAGGGAGACTATGATGATGGGATGATGAGTGTGAGAAAGATGGTCCTAGAGCCTGGTGGCCCTTCCCAAAGCTGGGAGAACCTGTCCTCCAGGGCTGCTGCCCAGGGTCTGTGTGCACTGCTTTCTGGGAGAATCCCTTGGCTCCATCTTCCAGTTTACCAGGTGGCTCCTCAATCGTATCCATTGTTACATTCAGCTCTCTGAATGTCAACGGCCATATTTTTTTCAAATTAATAGATTTAATTTTTTTCAGCAGTTTAAGGTTTACAGAAAGGTTGAGCAGAAATTTCAGAGAGTATTTTTTGCCTCCTCACCTGCAATTCCCCTAATTCCCCATTAACATCTTGTATTAGTGTGATATGTTAGTTACCATTGATGAGACAATATTGATGCTATTATTATTATTATTATTTAAATATTTTATTGGGGAATTGGGGGAGGGGAAGAGCATTGGGGAATTGGGGGAAGGGGGACAGACAAGTTGCTGTCCTTTTGTTCTTCAGTCTAGTTGTGGAGGACGTCGCTTCCCTGGCCCATGTTGGTATTATCATTGCGCTGTTCCTGGCAGTCACTCACCAGCCATTGAACGGCCGCTTATGGCGGCTCATGGCAGCACATGAAAGCTCATGAAAACTCATGCCCGCTGCCGACGAGCCCCACTGTAGCCTACACTGTCGCTGGCGACTCATGGCAGTCCAGCTTCAGATCGAGCTGTTGTTCACCATCTTAGCTGTAGAGGGCGCAGCATCACTGGTCCTAATGTGGGATCTGCACCAGGGTCCTGCTGCTCAGAGCTGGAGTCCCAAGCCAACTCCTAATCAACATGCCACTCGGCCAGCCTAATGCTATTATTATTATTACTACTATTATGAATAAATTAGGCTAGGTTCACTCTTTTTTAATTTAAGCTTTATTGGGGAACAGTGTGTTTTTTCCAGGACCCATCAGCTCCAAGTCAAGTAATTTTCTTCAGTCTAGTTGTGGAGGGCGCAGCTCACTGGCCCATGTGGGAATTGAACCGGCAACCTTGGTGTTATGAGCCTGTGCTCTAACCACCTGAGCTAACTGGCCACCCGAGATTCACTCTTTGTGTTGTTCATTCTATGGGCTTTGACAGATGTAATGACTCAACAGCCCTCTTCTTGTTTTTCTAGATCATAGCTGTGTCCCAGTCTTGCTGGTTTCCTTCCTCCTGCGTTAAGGCTGTCCTTGTAGAATGGCTTTTTGAGTCTTTGCTTCCTGTGGCCTGGAGAAGGCCAGGTACTGAGGTGCTGGCTCGTCTCTGGGGACTGGTGCTCCTGTGACGTCCTGGTGCCCCCACCCCCTAATCTGGACCCTGCTCTGGTCTCAGCACCCTCCCTTGCCGCTTTCGTCCCCCTTACCCCAGCACAGCTGCCCGCTGCTCAGGGACCATTATGCGGCAGGGAGGTGCTGGCAGACTTAGCTGCCCCATTGGTGCCTGGACTACTTAGGGCAAATAGTAATAATAATCATGGTAAGTATGTGTGAGCCTCTGAAAGGCAGCGAGGTAAAGCAAGGTGGCC